GTACATTGTTAAACAGTCTTGTATCATCCACAGGAAAAATAATGGAATACGGAATTACTGGGAAGGCAGCACTCTTGAAGTTTTTGAGATATTCTTTGCAAATAAATGTCTTAAATGTTTACATAAGCATGAGAAAAATATTCTGCAAGGGCTTTTATTGGTGAGAAAGTGGTTTTAGTCTTTAAAAATTTTTTCTTTAATGGTGAAATATAACACATTCTGAAAAGTGTATAAACCTAATGTACAGTGTAATGACTAATTGTAAGGTAAACAGCCATATGATCGTCACCCAGATCAAGAAATAGAACAGTGCCACCACCTCAGAAGCCTTGGTGTGTGTTTGCCTCCCCTTCCCCTCACTTGTATAGTAATTACATCCATGGTTTTCATCATAGGTTGTATAATTCTGTGTGCATTCCTAAATAACATAATTTAGTTTTGTCTAATTTAAAACTTGAGATAAATGCACTTGTAACTGTGTGTCTCATTTTTTTTTTTTTTTTTTTTTTTTTTTTTTTTTTTTTTTTGTTCACTGCATTTAAGATCCATCTTCATTGATCAAAGAATTGTTGAGAATATGTGGTAATAAGGTTTAGCGACAATTTGATGAACCAGTCTTCTTACTGACCCGAGGAGGTTTCTTCCTCTTTTGCAGCAGGAAGTACCTGTAGGAAAGGGAAAGCATCCTTCTCTTCCCTTGAGATAAAAAATTATCTCAAGATGGAACTCTTGAGCTGGAATCAACCTTGTCTCCAGATAACCTTGACAATTTTTCACAAAGTACTAACTGGCCAGAGAAATTTGATCTTTCAGCAGACACTGAGACTACAAGGTAGAGAGAGTGAGGGAGGAGACATCACTGTCTTTCAAGAGAGAAATGATAATCAGATAAATGCAAAATTACTAGTTTTTAAACTATGGCTTTTGCCAACTATTTTTCACTTTAAAGCATATATATTAAAATTTATGTAAGGATCGGAGTAGCAGTTAATTCTTGAAAGAAGAGAATGTTGAAAAGGGATCTGAGCCGAAGGAGTTTAGAACCCTAAGAATGGACTATTTAATATAGTGGTATCTTTGTAGCGGATTGTTGATGCTGGATTGTGTGTGATTTTGTTTGTATAAATGTCCTGGGATCTTGAATAGCTTACATTTCTCTCTATTCTTCCAGTCTTCCGTGGCCACCACTATTTTTCTTTCCCATATCTTTATTTCCTTTATTGATTTAGTAGCTGCCTTGGTCTTCAGGAAGAATAGGAGAGGTTTCATAGTAGTAGGATCCTTTCAGAAACTGTCTTCAGGGGATAAAAGGTTTTATTCCAAGAGAAGTAAAGGTCAGGCATTGAGTAATGTATACAATTGTCAATCCTGTGTTGCATACCTGAAACTAATACAGCAGTGTGTGTCAATTATACTTCAATAAAAAAAAAGAATATAATAAAGGAAGATTCTTTATGTAGGAACTTGAAATCTACCGGGGTGTGGAAATTTGGCATTGTGTGTTAGTAAATGATTAAGGATATTGGAAATGGGATTCTAGCTTGTAAGCTTTTCTTTTAATTAGAGAGCTGTTCTTAAGTGAAACCATAAGCATGAATGCTCTCTAATGCATGTCTCTTTATTGGTCCGAATGATTTTGATTAAATCCAGTGGTATTTTTCCACTCCCCATTCGTATATAACCCATGCTACTTGAATGGATAATAGTTGATTTCTTTTGTAAACAAATAAAGGATTGTTATCATAGTTAACGCATTGTTAGTTGAAGAATTTAAATCTAGGACTTCCTTTCTTGAAACTCCCAGAATTCAAACTTAAAATTTAAATCAAGTATTATGAGGAAGGTATGTACATACTTATTACTTCTTCTCCCTTAAATCCCTTGTAATATATGCCAGAGAGAAGTACAAATGACTTTGAATTAGGCTGTATTTGGATAATGGTCCAACCTTATGATTTAAGCTTCTTTAACACCCCTAGTACTCCTCTTGTTTGAAATCCCCAGGGAAGTAGGGCTAATTTTTTGAAATGTATTAACTGTTAGGAAACATGCCAGGCATACTTCTTTCAGAAATAACAATCTAATATTGTTTATCTGCCTTGTGTAAGAGGTATAGGTACAGGTTTTATTGATCCCAGTATAGAGCAAACTTACTTTGGCTAAATTTTGTTCAGGACTGTTCATTTAACTAAATGGGCTAGGGCCATTTTGAAAATTTTAACACCTGTAATGTAAAAACACTCAAGGAGATTTAAGCTATTTGTTCTTTGCCTAAATTGGTAAAATACAGTTATGGTGATATGCTTATTTGCCTCTTTAATGACTAATGTTAATAACTTACTGTTCCTATAGAGAGACAAGATTGTTTAGGGTACAAACATCATTTCCAATCATCCTAGAATATCCTACACTATATTAGGAACATAGTGGGTGTTCAGTTTATATTAATATGGATCTTTTATCCTTAATGGTAACCACATTTTATGTTTTGGTGGTGATAGTACAGGAAGTCGCTTGTATAATACCTTGATAAACCTTGGATTTGATTGTGATATCAGTAGAATCATGTGTGGTGATATTGTGATTCAGAAGAGAGATATTTGGTCTTCGTCCTTGCTTCTGGCACAGAGCTCCTAAAAACCCTTGTCATTTTCTAAGTATCTTTTGTTACGTTAATACAGTGACTTTGGAAAGCCCTTAGGTAATCTAAGTATGGGGGCTGGTTGCCACTAGAACCTGCCCTGTGATTAGAGGGTTGAACTATCAGTCCCACCTCCTGACCTCTGGGAAAAGGAGAAGGACTGGAGGTTGAATCACCAGCTGCCAATAATTTAATCAGTCATGCCCACGAAATGGAGGCTTCATACAAACCCCAAAGGACGGAGTTTGGAGCGTTTCCAGGTTTGTGACTATGTGGAGATTTGGGGAGGGTGGTGTACTTGGAGAGGGCATAGAAGCCCCGCACTCCTTCCCACACATCTTGCCCTGTGAATCTCTAGTTGTTCCTGAGTTCTGTCCCTTTATAAGAAATAGTGATCTAGTAAGTTAAATGTTTTGTCAGTTCTGCAAGCAACTCTACCAAATTAATTGAACCTAAGGAGGGGGTCACTGGAACTTCTGATCTGTAGCCAGTTGGTTAGAAGCACTGGGGACAACTTGGACTTTTGATTGGTGTGTAAAACTGGGGATTGAGGGTCCAGGGGGGTCAGTCTTATAGAACTGAGCCCTTGTGGGATCTGACACTGTTTTAGTGTTAGAATTAAGGTGGATTGTAGGATACCCAGCTGGTGTTGTAGAATTGCTTGCTGGTGTGGAAATTCACTACCCCGCCCCCCCCCCCCCCTTTTGGGTTTGTTAGTGAACCTCTTAGTAGTGAACATCATAATCTCACCCTTAATAAAGGTGTCATTTTAATGTTATAGAAGAAGGAAAACTCTTTCCTGGTGATAAAAAAGAAAAGAAAAAAGGTTGATAATCCTTATCGAAAAAGTATGTGAGCATCAGTGATTGCCATCAGCAATTGGGAAATGACTGACTTGGCTGGATACCTTAGGAAGAACTTTAAGGGAAGGAAATTTTAATGTGAGTATTTCTTCCAAGTACAGGTAACTCTTAGTTCTATCTTGAGTTTTAACTCACTAGTTAAGGAATATTGAATAAGAAAAGACAGACCAGCTAATGCTGTTAACATTTGAGATGATACATGAAAAAAGACATGGCAGCAATAAGAAGTAAAGTTCACACGGTGGCGTTTTATGTGAATTTGAGAAGTGTATCTTGATGTGGAGGAATAGTAAGAATAGAAATGATCATTGGGTATATATGCCTTGAATTCAGGCAAATGATGAGTTTGGTGGGTTTGGATTAATGGGGGGCACCTGGGTGGCGCAGTCGGTTAAGCGTCCGACTTCAGCCAGGTCACAATCTCGCGGTCCGTGAGTTCGAGCCCCGCGTCAGGCTCTGGGCTGATGGCTCAGAGCCTGGAGCCTGTTTCCGATTCTGTGTCTCCCTCTCTCTCTGCCCCTCCCCCGTTCATGCTCTGTCTCTCTCTGTCCCAAAAAATAAATAAACGTTGGATTAATGATCCATTTTGTTTCTCGGCTCTTGACTTAACTTTGTGGTTACAGCATCTCCCCATCCAAAAGTAGAGCATTCCTATGAAAACTTGTGTAAGTCGAAAATGCATACAGCAAAGAACCATTAATTTATATGGAATTTTTTTTAGTGTTCCCAGATCCAAAAAATAACCCTATGCTTTTCTGATGCGCAAGAGGCTTAAGCTAAAGGGGCGCACAAAATAAATAGAGATAAGGAACAGATGCTCACAAGATGCAGTTCTAAGCCATGGTGGCTTGATGATGAGTGTTGTACCTTGGGGACGGAGCTTGATGGTGTCACTTCCGCTGCTCAGGTTCATGCTGCCTCCATAGTGGCGTGCTGCAAAACAAACACTGAACGCTGTTTTCCCTTTTCCCTTTCTCTTTTATTCTTTTGGTTGTATTAACGTAGACCTGTCTTAAAGAAGGTGGCAGAGTGGCCTAGGGTGAGCTTTTCGAAAAGCAGGGGATACCTGTTTGGCAATTAATATGGAAATTCCACGACACTTTAAGAGCCATCACAGCTCCCACTGATTGCATGTGAACTTTGCCACAAGTGGTTAAAGGATACTAAATAAAATTACTCATTAGGGATGGAATAAATTGCTTGTCTCCATTAAAGTGTCTCTGCAATAATAGAAATAGCTTTGTCTGCATCTAATTACTAGGAGGATCATTGAATATTGTAGATCTTGAGAGGCCAAAATATAAAGTCTTTACTTTTTTTTTTTTTTAACTCTGGATTGAACTAACAAAATACTATACTATACTCTATAATACTATATAACTACTTTATACTATATAAGAGCAACATTCCTGTATACACTATATAGTATATAGTATAGTATATACTATTCCTGTATATATATTCCTGTATATACTATATAGTATATAGTATAGACGCTTATACTTTTATACTATAATATATATAACTATGCTATATAATATACACTTAATTCCTGTAGTCAGTCCTTAAACTGATGTTGTGATGATCTTACCAGTGTTTTTGTGTACTTTTTTTTTTACACCTTTATCCATCAGTGTGCCTTTAATCTGTTATATTGACAATTAAAACATTGCATATGTTCGTAATTTTTTAAAATTTAATAAACTTCATAGAATTTTAATTTTAATCCTAAAATCATTTTTACTGTATGCCATATCTAAAGAAAACTTTAATAGGCCAAGCTTTCTGGCATTAGAAGGAACAGGATAATGAAGATACATGTAGGTAGGTGAGAATAAATCTAAAAACCGTAAAGGGGGAGCCTGGGTGGCTCAAAGTCAGGTTGAACCTCTGGCACCCTTTCAGGTCATAGTCTCATGGTTCGGCAGTTGAAACCGTCCGGACCCAGCTCACAGAGCCTGCTGCGGGTTTAGCTTTCTCCCCCACCTCTCTCTCTCTCTCTCTCTCAAAATAAATACACTAAAGAAAAATGAGCTTGAGAAACAACTAAAATACTTTAAAATAATTTTTTGATGGTTGTTAAAATGAGTCAGTCACTTCATTAGAAGGGAGATCTTTTTTTTTTTTTTTTAGCATACTTTATTTTTGTTGTTAAAATAATTTGCAGACTATAAATGTCTCAAACAGCAGTTAAAGCAAAATGTTTTCCTTTTGAAGTAAAAATATTTCTAGACTTTGAAAAGTTTGTCATTAGTACTTGTTACAATTGTTGGATATGAATTGCAGCATAATATAAAGTTATTATAACTTTATAACTTATTATAAACTATATAACTTATTATAACTTATAAGTTATTATAAAAAGTAACATTTTTATAAGTCAAACTATATTTAAAATGCAAATAATATATAATGTATATACCATGTATGTAATTATGAACAAAATGATAAGTACCTGTGTGAAACCCCTACCCAACTAGAGAACTAGAACATCACCAATTTCACATCTATCCATATTTCTTCTCTAAGCTGTCCTCCTGGTTTTCCTTTTAGCAATTAGAAGCCATTATCTCAGTTTTAACATTTCCTTTGCCATATTAAAAAAAAAATATATATATATATATATGTTTGCATCTCTAGATAATATATTGCTAAGTTTTGCTTTGTTTGAAGCTTTAAAAATGGTATTATTGTTTATATGATCTTTGACTTGTATTTATACATTTGCTAGTTGATGAATATTTGGGTTTACAACTTTTTGCTTTTATGAATAATGCTACTATGAACAGTAAAAACTATACTTTCTGGTTTATATGTGTGGATGGTTGCTAGGGTATATACCTGAGTATTCTGTGGTAATTTTTATTTCAGTTATACATAAAAATATAATACACCACTCCAAAACTTGGTGACAAAAAAGCATTTCATTATTTCACAATTCTGTGAGTGGAATGGGAGCTTTCTGCTTTGTGATGTCAACTGTGGTTCTTGGATGATTACAGTCATCTGGAGGCTCAACAGGCTGCGGTCAGCTGGGGCTAGAAGGACTGGGATGCTGTATAGCTTAGAAGCATCTGGAGTCTTGATTGGGAGCTCAGCTGTGGCTTTTAGCTTCTTCGTGTGGCTGCTTAGGCTGCCTCACAGCATGGCAGCTGGATTCTAAGAGCATTTCAAGAATGAGAAAGCTGCTTGTCCAATTAAGGGTTAGACATCTACTGATCATTGTCACTTCCACTATATTTTATTGTTGAGAATAGACACAGGCCTATTAGTGAGTCATACTGGTAGGGACAGAATGATTTAGTTCCATCTTTGGAGACTTGTTATCACAGTGTATTATTTTTGTTTCTTATTCTGTAAATTACCTGTTTGTGTCTTTGGTCAGTGTATTTTTTTTTTTAAACTTTTTTAAACTTAAAGTTTTTAAACTTTTTTTAAAACTTTTTTTTTTTAATTTTGTATTGGTGAGGGGAGGGATTCTAAGTCTGGTAAATTTGTTGCAAATTTTAATGCATTTTGTGGCTTATTACTCCTTAAATCCTATAAGATAGATATTACCCCCATTTCATGGAGAAAAGGAAGTACTGCTTAGCATGTTAAGAGAATACCAGTGAAGTCAGAAGCCTCAGGTGATATTTTGGTATAAAAACAGCATGTGCAAATGCGTACAATTGTATTCTCTTTCATAATTGTACACATTTCATGTATGGGAACATGATGCTTGCATCAGTCTACTTATTATACTCCTCCCCTTCCAAAAGACTGAGGCTTGGAAAAATCTACAAGCATTTTTTATTCACTTATGGTCTATTATAATATTCCACGTAAAGTGCTACGTGACCTGGCCATTCATCGACAAGTTCTTTCTAGTCTTACCTGCCTTGCCCATACCCATACTTCAGTTTTTTCCCCCTCTAAATTATTCAGTTGGATCAGTCGATCACTATCTGCCAACACATTTCAAAACTTGTTTTTGAAAGCCAGACTAGTTCCGCTATTAGTTCTCCCACTTTGAGCATATGCTGGAGTTCTCAGAAGACAGTGGTAAGGAATTGGCATATGTTTGAGATTTTCTTGACTGATCTCACCTCCAAACTTTATCATGGAAATTAAGTTTCTTAAGTGTTATGGTGAAAATACTTTTTTCAAAATAATGGAACTCAGAGATTCACAACCAATATTCAAATATTTGCCTTCTGTACTTTAAAAAGCACATTTTAGGCATTGAATGCAGCTGGATTGCTTTAAAACTGAAAATACTACAGAGCAATTCTGAATTTCACAACACAAGACTTTAAATAAAATGAGACAACTTTCTGTCATGTCTGAACAAATATAAAATACACAGAAATAAACTTGTAGGCACTTCCCAGCTCTCAGATTAGGAAGAATGTTCTGTGTAAAAGTATAGTTTCCCATCATTACAATTCTGTATGTTGCATACAGACGCTTCAGTATAGCTCTCCAGTATAAAAGCAATGCTTCAGGGAGCATGACTTATTTTCATGTTCCTTCATATTTCTTGGATCTAAGATTCAATGGCAGAAATGAAAGTCATAATAATACTTCTGCTTATTGGAGGGATTCTTTGACATGTAGTGGAATACAGAGCATCTCTAGACTTTGACTCAGGAACATTTTCCATCAGCGATACCAGCTGTTGTATGACCAAAGCTCTTAGTCATTTTTGTTCTTTCCTGCCCCAGATTCTGTCACTTTGTCATGCATTAGAAGAATTAGTTACCTTCCTCAAGAAGTAAAGTATAATATATTTACCGTAATATTGATCTAATGTTACCATGTGAAGTAAAGGTGTCAAGTGCAGTAATTTGGCAAAAAGTGCAATCCAGATTTCACCAGGTTGACCATAGTGTAAACACTATTTGTAGAAACAAAACAAAACAAAAAAACGGGGGGCGGGGGGGAAGGTGTGTTTAAGTCTGTTTAAAATTCAGTAAATGCATTTGCAACATTTGCAATTCTCAGAATAAACACATTTTTAAATAGAGTATACCCCAAACATGTTGGTCTCTGAGGATTTAATACATGTTGTTATTTCATAGAAATTGCTAAAATTA